CTCCGACTTCAGAGCACCTATTGCAACTGTGCGCCTCTGCATGTACAAACTCATGTCCAAGGCTGACATGGCTGTGATGGAAAGCAACAAGGGGGTTGATCCGGTGGGAATCTCAGCGCTCAGAACGACGCCACGATGTCCTGCAATCACCACAGGGATCTTCCACACTTGCGCCCTCTCGCTCGTGCTGCTGCCATTGGCAAAATGAAAAACCTTCCACTGATCTGTCTCTTCACATTGTATGCCTTCAGGCAAGTGACGAGCGTAGTTGACTCTCCACTCACGGCTGTGCATGCATGAGGTACAAGCGGTGTCCAAAAGGCAAACTCTGGATTCATCTATTCCACGTGGTCCTTCACCCATCTGGTGATGGCCAGCATTCAGCTTCAAATTCAGAAACCGACAGCTCCTCACGAACTGCCGCATCACTTGGCTCGCGGGATTTGTGTGGCTCCACATTGGGCTCATCCTCATTTGTTGAATTCTGGCCTGGACAGTCATCCTGGCCCACAACGAAGGCAAAATGCCTCCGGCATGCATCTGTGGTCCTCTCAGCCTCATGGACGTCGGGCCGGACTGGCCCGTGCAAGCTCCAAGCCTTCCGCATATGGCAATGTGTACTTGCATTCTGTGCGTCCGAATCGTGAGCATCCAAAGAACAGGCTGAGATTGTAGCGATTCTCCCGGACCACCAAATCTCCTCCACACTTCTTGCAAGGCACTCCTGGCAAAACCTGACCATGCTTGATAGGATAAGGATCATCGCGCCGAGAAGCTTCCGGGAGTGGTGCCTCAAACTCAATTTCCTTCTTCTTCGACACCATCGTCGGCCCAGAAGAGCCGCTCTCCCCAGTCTCCTCCATGACGACTTGTTCGCGAAAGAGATGGCCGCGAAAAGGCTTGCCGTCCTTGTCCGTGTGAAAACGAAAGTCCTCCGAGGTCTGACCATTGTCTTCTTCTTCAAACTCCTCGGATGTCATGTACCCGTATCCCCTGGTTGGCTTCTCCTTCTTCTTCGGCTCTGGGCTGGCCTTCGGATGGTGACCCCTTGCTGACTTTGGGTAACAGCGGTCTCGCGGACGTGTCCCGCCGTCAGCAGGTAGTACACCTCCTAAGCCGCTGCCCTTAGGAGCCTCCGCCGTATGAGCAATTAAGGTTTCTGCTGCTGTAGTGATGGCATCTGACGAACTGGATGCTTCCTCCTCCAACATCACGCATTGGCGAGAACATCCTTTCTTCTTCACCGGCTCGCCCTTGAAGAAATGGCTAAGCCGCTGATACACCTCCTCTTTGTTTCCGCTGACTTTCACTCCCCAAACGTCACACTCATGCTGGAGCTCACGAAGATTGAGCTTCTCCAAAGCAGGCCGCACACCTCGAAGGCTCCTCACCTTGGTCACCGTCACACTTGCTTTCTCCTCAATGACCAAAGGCATCTGACGCACGTCTCTCGAGTGAAGCGGAAGCCCCAGTGCCCGGCAAAGGCACCTCTGGAGTCTCGGTCACATAGCTCCAGCCGGCTTCTGGCTCATCTGGGGAATGTGCGACCTTGCGCTTGAAATCCAACTCCGTGAAGCCGCTGTCCTGCTTCATGTCATTCTCACCTTCTTCCACATCATGCCCAACCATGTAAGCTGAGCCATCCAGATCGAGCTGATCATCCAAGGTGAAAAACATAGGCTCTTCCGACACGAGAAAGGCCTTGCCGGCTTTCTTGCCCTTGCCTTTCGCCTTGGCCTTCTCTGAATGCTTCTTCGGGCCACCCTTTGAGGTCTTGTTGCAAGCTGAATCTCCGGCCCAATGGCCAATGCGGCCGCAGGCGGAGCATCGGGATCGCTCCTTCTCGCGTGCAACTGCTGCTTTCCTCTCCTCAAAGGTGAGCTCGCCACGAAAGAAACCTCGGGATTTCTGCAAGTCTTTCAAACGCTGTCTGGAGTCCTTGTAAGACCGTCGCTGCTTATCCATAGCAGCATAGGCATCATAGATTTCATCATCATCCGAAGCACCTGCGTCTGAGACTGCTTCTCCTTCTCCTTCGCCAATCTCATAAGCCATGTCTTCCTCCGCTGGCTGCTCCCCGAACTCTTCAAACTCTTCCAACTCCGGGGCTGCTGGCTCATCCTGAACAAACTCATCTGGCTGCTCAGTGTAATTGGCGAAACCGCGTCTGTGCTTCCCATAGCCCTTGCTAGGCCGTGACTCCCATGCCTTCGAAGTCTTCTCCTTCTCATGGATGTCGTAGAAACTAATCCGCATCGCCTTCTCGATCTCATCCAAATCATATTTGGACTGGCTGCTGAGCAAGATCTGTCTGCGATCCTCCCGGCTGAGGTTGCACTGCTTGAGGATGAAGTACGAAAGCAAATCGTTTGACATCCGTGTCTGATCATCCAACTCCTGCAAATCTCGCCAGTCTTGCCGTCGCTGCCGCAGATACGCATCCAAGGCTTGACCCTTCTTGCGAAACCCGCGCTCAAAAAAACGATCAAACTGCTCCGTCTTCTGAATCACGTTGACCTTCTCGATTTGGCTGAGGCAAGCCAGAACGTGCTTGTATCCCTCAACCTCTTGCAGTTTCGGAAGCTCTGACAGTAAACCTTGGCAGCATTGCCAAGCCTCACCATGTAGCCCATCCATGAGCCGCTTTGCAAACCTGCGTTGCTTTCTCTCCAGATCTTTGGCCTCCTTGGCCTCTGTGTCACCCTCGCCCTCCAGCATCGAATAGGCGAAGGTCACCCGGTGCTTGTACTCCTTCATCAATTCCGGTCGCACGCCAGTAAAATGCGGAATGCCATCCTTGTCCACCAGCACCTCATCGTCTCTGTATGGCAGTGAAAAATTCGAAGCCATGGCTGCAACGAAGCTCCGCTACCAGCGCGAAAGCACTGGCAGTGGTAGCGCAAGCTGTTTTCACCACACGAGCAACGAAAGGTATGTTGAGTGAAACATGTCATGCAACTGCTTGGTAAATGATCTAATCTGCTGACTGCTGTGTCTGGCTGCTATGATGGTCGTCCCGCGTTGCCAAGGCTGACATGGACCGATCGCCACCTGTTGACCAGGCTCATATGAGCAGGGGGCCGTTGTGGTTTGGGCCGAGCAAAGCCTCCACAAGCACATGCACTCAGATCAAAGGCTGCTACCTGGAAATACCTGGTTTCTGCTGGCAACTCTCACATATGCACATATATGTATACACATCTACATGCAACTCCCCCCATGGACCCTGGTTTTTCTGCCTTTTGGGGATGGTAAATCTAGAATCTCGAGTTTCAAATTCTCCAAATTTCCAATTGCGGCTCCCCAAAGCTTCATGATTTGAAGCCTGGAGTCCTCCGACATGGCCCAATATGATACCCTTTCCAAATAGAACTTTACTTCAACTAGATTTTGGTTTTTGAATATAATTTAGTTAGGATATAGTTTTCACAAATGTGTTTATGTTCAATTGCAGCTTATATAAGCAAATCATTTCTGAATGTTTAAGGGACTTCTAGAAGGACATTCGAAATACGATTTGTGTTATTTACATTCTGGCCCTTTTGTAGCATACGAAAGGTCCGAAATTAAACTTGATAGACGGTGTTCCAAAAGGACATTTCAAGGGAAGAGAGGTTCAAATTCTAAAACCATCGCGAAACAAGGATTCTAGCTAAATAAACTGCATTTAAAGTTCTATTTGCACAGGAAATTATAATATATTCTATCTCAAAAGGTGGATGAGCAAATGTGGACAGGTAGTTCAAGAAGGCGCAGGGGTGACGGTGTGTGAACATACATACATGTATACATATATATATATATATATACACAAACATACCCACACACAGTACCCCTTATGATCCTGCGCCTCTTTGTAGAATGCTGTAAAATACAGTGTTTTCGAACATTCCACCTACCTTTGTTTACCTCCTGGAAAAGGGTAAACATAAGCATAGCTGACATGAAGCAAACCGCTCACCAAAAGCACTTTAAAGTTTGTCTAACTAATAACTTGAAAGTGGTTCCACTGGATCGCCAAACACTTGAAAGTTGAGGATTGCGCAAACAACGACTTTCCTGAGAATCATCCATCCTGGTCAACCCCCCAAAATGATCAAGTTGTTCTATAACCTGGAACGTATTTTACCACTGGATTGAATATTCGAGATTGACATATTTCGCGGAAAGCTTTTCCGAGAATCTTGTTGAACACCGAGAGTATTGGGACAAACCTGGATGTCTTAAAACACTCTTCAAAATCTGGGATTCAAGATTCAAGACTCCGAGAAAATAATTTATCAGGTTCTTGATCTTGAATCTTGAATCCAGACATGTTCCCACATTTTCAACAATTCTGGGAGTCAAGATTCAAGATTCCCAGCCAATTGTGTCTCAGATTCTTGAAAATCTTGAATCCAGGACTTTGCTTATGTTTGTTCATTAAAAACAAGCTGGGTTGTCTAATACTCTTGGATGCATTCAAGCTCTTTCAGATTGCAGATGTTGATGTCATTGCTTTTATCACATATGTATGTATGCATGCATGCATATCATTTATACATATGGCACACCCCTAATTTTGACACAAAATCCAAGAAGCAGAAAAGGCATAACACACTGGAAAAAATGCAGGTCAAACGCACCAAACCAGGTCCAAGTAGGGGGGTACCATACATATGTATATATGTCATGTGTATTACAGGCAATAGACACTTTTTTGTGGATGTGTGTGTGTGTATACATAGTAGTAGTGGATACGACTGCATAGCTATAGATATGAACCTTGCAACACCGTGGTGCTTTCTATGGGAAGCCTGCCAGTCACCTGCATAGATTTCTTCGTCCCCACGGAGTTTTGTCGAATGCAAGCCGCGCCCGAAGACTGGGGTCTGTCAACGAGTTCCCGAGAACATCACCCCCAAAGGAAGCTCATCTGGGCCATGCGCACATCATGTGTGCGTGTGTTGGGAAGTCCTGGTTGTTTTCCTCTTGGTCAAGCTGTCCATTGGGACCCTGGCCAGTTGTCCCGGTGCACGTGTAGTGCAATGAGCCGCAGACCCCAAGCCTGCGCCTGAAGGAGCTGTGGGAAAGTTTGCAAAAATCCAGGACCAATTCAGGAATCGGCAACATCGGCAGTTTCGGGCAACAGCGCCGGTCATTTTCAGGAATCATCCAAACCGCCCCCAACCTTCGTCGCATCATCATCCTCAGTATGCACCTTTGACTAATTGATCATGTCTGCCATCCCTGCAGCTGTTGCGACCTGACATTCCTCTTCCTGTTTGATTACCGAGTTTTGCTTTGGTTGGCTTCAAAGATCAACGGAACCCACACTCCAACCCACTGTCATGCAACTCAACGTCAGGTTGTGTGGGTTGTGTTTTGAGGGTGAGACTAAGGAATGTTATGTTTCAGGGACTTCAAAGTGTCCCTTCAGTTAATTTCAACTTCTGATTACTCGCAAAACCTTCCTAATCATGATGGGTGGTTCTGCTTTAGGACGGACATTATCTTTTCACGGGGGTTCCTGTAGTAGCGTCCGGATTAACAGCCCGCGTCACGTCCCGATTGCAAGCTGTGGATTCGCCTTGTCCTCCATAAAGCTAAGCAGCTTCGAGGCGAGGCCAGCACCGCGCCTCAATTGGGGCGGGATCTGATCGAGAGTCGCAATCTTCACAATGATGTTCAGGCGATGTGTTTGATTTTCTCATGTTGAATGAGTGACACTCACAAAGTGCAGATTCAAGGTGGAACGAGTGTTGATTGCCACTAGCGCTCTACCTGTGCCTTTGCCAATGCGCTCGAGGGGTAAAGCTTCTGCGTGGCCGAGCCAAGGAGTTGTTCCGACAGACCCATACCAACAGATTGACGCAACTCAGATGTGGGTGGCTCGTCCTTTTTGAGGGTACTCTGTTTTTGTGGATTTAACGGGAAACCACAGGGAAAACCACCATAATATATTCTTGAGGGGGTCCCCTAAGAAACGACACACCCATGTAGGTACAGTAGGAAGCCCTAAGAGCATGAGCATTCAGGAATTCCCAAAAACACAAGCTGTACCGCGGCAAAAAGGAGCCCTTGGGAACTGGCAGGTTAGACATCATTCAACCCTTCACAAGCAAAACTGTTGCAACAGTACTCCCACCCAGCCATGCATTGATCAGCTGGGTGGTCACTCTCCAAATCTCCATATTTGGGTCTTTCTTGAGGGCGTCCTTTTTGGCTGGTCTTAACCCGACACCAAAGGGAAACCACGCTGCCACTGTTTGTTGCTCGAGTAAAGGCACTCTCAGGAAGGTGTTCACACTCCTTGACCGCCACGTTAGATGGCAAGGAATAGTTCCAAGGAGCCAGCAAAACGGCCGGGCAGTGGCTGCTTCCCAACATGTCCCACATCATCAGAAACCTCATGTGTGGCATCTAACATTTGCAGTGACGCGTTAGCTACCTGGCGCCAAACATAGACTGCCAACTTGAACATGTAACTATGTATACATGCACATGGGTGTTTCTCAAAACAGCGGACCCCGAAATGGCAGGTTCCTTTGGATTCCCCTTCAAAGCCATCCAACAGGGAGTCCACCATTTTGAGTGCATTTGATTCCAAGCAAGGCATCCTCTGAGGTTCATGGCCAAGGTCTGGCCACTGCAATGGACTCGATATAGCCCACCGCCTGCAAAGCTCACCCTTCGGCCCAAACACACCAGCAAGCAATTGAGGGCAAACAAACAAGCGAACAAGCACGCAATCAAACACTGAAACCCGCAAACACAGATCCAAGACAGTTGAGGGCCATGGTATTCCGAAACTGAATGGTCAGCAAGATGCTCACATAGTAAACCTTCTACAGCGTGATCCGCGAGATCAACGTGATCCACTTGCAATTCTGATCCGTGAACAGCGGGCTATGCTCAAAAACATACTTAAACTCAACAAGGAGAGTCGTCTCTGCGTGCCTTTCAAGATCCCGCAAACAGGGAGAGCAGATGCCCAGGAGGAATCCTTATGCCTTGCAAGACCTGCTGGCGGCAGGTCTTACCGCGCTTGTACGGACATTCGCACCCTCGGCAGTTCGAATGATCATGTGACCCATTCAAGGTGCAACTCAGCAACTAGAAACACTCATGATGTCCATTGGAAATTTGGAGCTTGTAAAACCCACCTTGCGCCCTTTACGAGTGGGATACTTTGGCAGGTGGGGGCGGCATGTCATCACCATTCCTCTAGCCCCTCTGCAAGCTCCTCTGAAAAGGGTTGCCTATGCTTCACCAACTAAAAGCCCAGAGGGATGAGTTCAAAGAAGTAACCCAAGTGGCACCATACCAAGCCAAAAGGCCCAAAAGGACAAGAGAAGGACCCAGACTCTGAAAACAACCAAGAGCCTCAACTCGGAACCAATAGCCCAAAAGGTAAACACCTACTAAGCCCAAGCACCTGAGAAGCACAAGCCACCCAAAGTGCCAAGGAAAACCTTGGCTAGGCACAAAAGCCGGCCTCAAAACCGACCCAAAAGCAACGCGAGCCCAGGTGCAGAGCCGCCTCCAGAGCGCCCGCATCCAGGACAACGTCCGCATCCACGGTGCATTGCACCTTGTTATTGGGAATGATTATTTTTCAAACACCCAAACCACGGCATGCAGGGGGCGGGGGCGTGTTCTTTTAGGGGAACCCAGTAAATGAATTCTCATTTGTGGCGGGTTCAAAAGGGAAACCAAAAGGACAACAGCCATTTAGACGCCCTAGTTTGAGACAAACCCATGTATTCCGGAGGCCATACTCCGCACAAAATGGTGGGCGAGACTGTATGATTTTGTCCGCGCTTCTAAGGACCTTTGCGGATCCGGATCCATGGGTCATGCCTGTGGCTCCGTGAATAGTGTCCATCATTCAGCTGACAAGTCTGACGGCTTGCCTCCCCTTACCTGTCTACGCAACACTTTTTGACTAGGCTGCACTTGTGAATGGAACGCGGCGAGCTACTTGGGTTCCCGGAAGCCCCGAAACCGCCTCCTCCATGTCGTCGCTAATGTGGCAGCCCTGGGCGGATCGAAGGGCCGCACCTCAAATTCGGACCCTTTTTGGGACTGCTTGAAGGCGACAAATCCCAGAGGCCAGTCCTGGCAACCGCTTATACATCGGGGGCATTTCCGGAAAGGCGCTCGGCACCCGGATTGGCTGAATGTGTGGCGAGTCAAGCACGCAATGCGGACTTCGTTCTGCATCAAGCGAAGCTGAGCTTTCCCACCAGCAAGCTTGCTGCTTCGAAGTCAAAGCTCGGACAACCCAAAGGACCATGGCCCTGGGGTATGTGGAAGGTCCATCCTTGAAGCCATGCGTTCCCAGCTTCACAGCTTTGAACATTCCATCCCGGCAGCT